AGATAATTCCCACACTGAATACCAACATTTACAGTATGTTTACTCAGAATTATTTTGCTACCACGTACTTACTTTCACTGCTGCCCTTTTATATCATGAAGTTGGCATCACTCCCCCAGCCTCCGTCCAGTGTTCCAGCCTCTGCATCCATGTAAGCGTACACACTGGCATCTTCCAGATCTTTTTCTCTGACTAATTTCCAGGAGGTAGGGAGAATGCATCCATGAACATAGACAGGCTTAATCTGCCAGTAATAAGCAGGAAAAAAGCACAAACACCTATAGCTTAATTCCATCTTAGATAAGAAACAAAGGTGAAAAGGTTGTATTAGACATTTGTAATGATGCTGATACTGCAATGATGCCTTTTTCTTATAAAGCAGAGGGATGACTTGAGGTGAAAATGTAACAGCTATCTGCCATCTAATTCAACAGAACATCCATAGTGAGCACTGAGAATTTTTCTTGCTTTTCATTTCAGTTTTGAGGTTAATGAATCTCATGGGAATCTGACAGTAATGGCATACCGAAACAGAGGATCATATGGCAATGTGTCTGCGTTTTTTTATGCCCAAAATTTGGAGGCACAGCTGGGTTGGGATTTTAATGTTACCTCAAGGGTAAGAAGCAAATTCTAAACCTAGTCCTTTTCTTTCCTTCAGCTTCCTCAAAAGAATATCTGCTTGTTTATTCTGCAGAATGATCGATACTACAACTAGATTTTTCAGCTTCTTTTAATTGCTTTGGTCATCTGCACAGAATGAGATAAAATTAGTCATTTTACTGTTTCTCTCTTTTTAAATACTGAAGTATTTAAAAATATGAGAGATTGTAAACTTTCAAACACCTCTCTCAAACACAGTTTTGCTTAGACAAGACCATATGGGATTTCATAGAAGGTTTCATATTTTTTACAACAGAACTTTCAAAGTAAATTGGTCTTGCTTGTCCTCATTCTGCAATGTGTTGAACTTCTTTACTTATGTTTCAATGAATTTATAAGGGACATAGAGATTATGGCTCTTCTTGCCTCCTCTTCCTTCCTATTTAAGACAATTCTGTTCACCTTAGTTGAAAAATTCTGTTCTTGTTAACCTGTTAAGTATTCAATGCTTCGTGTGTTTCAACTTTAGACTCTTTTTTTTGCTGATGGAGAAAGACATAAATCTGTTGTTATCACGATTTTTGATGATGATATTCCTGAAGGTGATGAGAAGTTCCAGTTAATTTTAACAAATCCCTCTCTGGGGCTGGAATTGGGGGAGAACACAACAGGTAAAACTTAGTTTTGATGTTCTCATTCTTTGGAATTGCATGGCAGTAATTTTTATTTCATTCTTCTGAATAATCATATTTCAGAGAACACCATTACCCTGCTGTGGTAAATTTTTATACTCCTTTAGAAATTTCCTAAACATCCCTTTCAAAACTATGCAATTAACAAGATTATATGTAAAATAAGGAATCAAAAGGTGCAAAAGTGAGCTTTTCAATAAGTGTTACTGCACTGAACTGAGGTCCTTTTCTAAGAGATTCTAGATTATTCCTGTCTAGAAATCTTCCTAGATAAAGTAAAATACTTCCATATTCTCTTCAAGTAATGTCATTGACATAAAACCATTATATATACACTAAAGGAAGAATGGATTTGTGTTTAGATATATTTTATTTGTATGAATAATTATATCTTACTGTGTTAATTAAAGAATATCTCCATTATTTATTTCTCAAAAGCCACAATTACTATACTTGCCAATGATGATGGCCATGGAGTTTTGTCATTCAATAACAGCGATCACTTCTTCCTAAGAGAGCAAACAGCTCTCCATTTGATGGAAAGTGTTGCAGTATTAAATATTATTAGAGAACCTCCTCAGGGAATATTTGGCACCGTGACTGTTCAATATCTTGTAAGTGAAATTAATTCTTCAGAGGCATCAGTGGATTTGACACCTTCTCAAGGATATATTGTGCTGGAAGAGGGAGTCAGATTCAAGGTAATATGATAGTTATTACCAAAGAAGTGAAGAAAGCTTTTTTTAATATTGTTGGAAATACTTCAGAAATGTCTGTGTTTTTTCTTGTATTTATTTTTCTTCTTATTTTTTCCTTCATTGTCAGAGCAAATTGAGTAATGGGAGTGGGAGCGCAAAAAACTGAATGTGCTCTTCTGCAGATATTTCTCTCTTTGTAATAGTTGAGGTAAATTTAAAACAATATAACGGGTATGTAATGTTCATATATGCATAGGAACGTTTCTTTGTGTGTATTCAGCATGTAGCTGAAACATTAACTTTGAACTGAATTGATAATTTACAGACATCAATAGTTAAGGTCACAGTAAAAATCCGATTCTGTAATGTGATAACTCACCTAGCCTGAAGCGAAGAGAGTATGCTGCAACAAAGGCAAAAAGTAGAACAGTTGTCAGTCTTAGGAACAGAAACTTATTCTTCTAGGAGTATAAAAGTCACTGCCTCTGTACTGTCCCTACAAAAATGTCAGCTAGAAATGAACTAACTTAAGTTTGTGAAACCCTGACTCTTCTAAAATTTAATGGCAGTTTGATTTTTTTTGTTTTATTTTATGTTGTCAGTGAAGCTAGGGTCAGTAACACATTATCGTACTATGGGTAGTGGGGTAGAATCTGAAACAAACCTTCCTGGAAACACTGGTTTTCAGTTTCTGAACCTTAAGTGCTTTTGGAACCACAACGCTGGCCAGTGTAGCAGATCTGTGGGAAGTTGAAGACTTCTTAAAATAGTCCCTAAATAGAGTTTATTGCAGAAGTAAACAAAGATCTAAAAGGTTGTAAGCTGCAGTTTAGTTCCAGAACCATCAGTACTAACTTTGTTTTCTATAGCAAAACTATCTGCACCTCTGTAACACTTTTACCTCTTTGGGTAGGGGGAAGGACGACAATGAGCCTCAAATGACAGTGAAAACACCTACCTCTTTCTAGATAAATCTGTGCTAATTTGAGGCAACCCTGAGTATCCTATTCTCATCCATGGTGGTGCACTAGAGGGAGAGAAGCGTCAATAAGAGAGACAGTATTTCAAATATCCCTCTTTTTTTGCCTTTTTTCCTTCTTTTCTTCCAGCAACAGTGCTGAAATTATCCTGTTGCCCTGGAACTAGTTTAGTTGCCAAATGCAGTAAATTAAAACCAACTCAGCTGAGCGGTGTTAGGGGATCAGGTAGCTGCACGGGGACTATGAATTACTAAGGAATGTATGGAATAAGTAGAGAACAAGAGTATGAAAAAAGGATCAAAAACTATTACATTTCAGAGGGTCTTAGGATGAGAAGAGGAAAAAATGAGAAGGGAAAAAAAAGAATGTGCTCCTGTTAGTGTTGCATCTATGGAAGTCACCAGACAGATGGCTTCAGAACCTCAGCCTGAACTGTCCTTGCCTCACTTCTGTCCTCTCTAGTTCCAAGAGCTTCCATTCTCCTTCTGTGCCACCCAAAGCTGTACAGTGAAAGAATAGAAGCCGTAGTGTGGCCTGATAGGCTTGTGTCATCGTTAGCTGTCAAGTCTCAACAACTTTCTATGCTTGTTTTCTTGTCAGACACTGCGTATTTCTGCAATACTGGATGAAGAACCAGAAATGGATGAGCACTTCATTGTCACCCTGTTCAGTCCCACTGGAGGAGCCAGACTAGGCACAAGAGTTCAAACTATGATTACAGTATTACAGAACCAGGCTCCACTAGGGCTTTTCAGCATCTATCCAGTTACAAATAGGTACTAAACACTGACTCAATTTAAAGGAGATTTTTCATATTCAATAGAGCTGTTATTTCTCTACAATTTTTTTTTTATTAATTCCTTTAAAAGAAATTCAGCAATCCAGTTGTAAAACATTTGTAATATTGAAAAGTACACTCTCTGTCAAATACTACTACTGCTATACAAAGTAACAGAAAAACACTTAATATGGACTAGTCATCATTAGAAATGTCAATTTCTGTATGGATTTTTTCATAAAACAGCACTTCATTAGTGCCTAAATATTCCACTAATAGTAATCCATGATAAAAGCTCCCAACTTCAGGTCAGTGGCAAGGGAGTCATACATTTTGTAATTTACTTTTGTCTTTAAGCTTGTGTAAAATAGACTTTCACTCAGGGCTGTTTTTCAGAAGCAAATCAACCATATGGAGAGACATTTTCAAAAATCATTCTTAAACTATACAGCTGGTGTGTTAAATTTCAGGCTGGTTTAAAATTTTGTTGAATTGCCTGTGATTTTGCCAGGGTCTTGTGGTAAGCAATATTGGACAACCTTAATCAATATAGTTACCAGTCCATCAGATAGCAAAACCAATTATTTATGTTTTCTTTTTCTTTCTGTTGTATATTTTGCAGCTGGAATTGTACTGTGTCTTGTTTGAATACTGAAAAATAATTTTTTTTTCTTTATTTTCACAATTACCACATTTAGGACAAATTTCCTCATAATTGAAGAAGCCAACACTACAGTTTATTTGAAAGTTTCACGGAGTAATGGGCTCAACGTGTCTGTGAGTGTTGAGTGGGAGACATTGTCGGATACTGCATTTGGCATCAGTACGTTCACTTTGTAGAGAGGTCCACTGCTTTTTTTAAGAGTGGAGATAGTAAGAGACTAGCCAAACATACAGGAGCTGTAACTTTGGAATCTAAAATCATGTATTGAGATCACTTTAATTACTTTTTTCCTGAGCATTTCAAGGCGCATTAGATAAAAGAGCTTAACTGCTTAGGAGTCACTTACATGAACATTATTGTCACTAGACTTTTGTTTAATAAACTCTGTTCTTTACGGCTTGTAACTTTGGATTTTTCTAGGACAGTGTAAGAGATACACTCTGTATAAATCTGACATACCCTTCGTCTGAAAAAATGCCACCACACATTTTCTGTCATCTCTCTCTAGTGTGCCTACCAAGATGCATTTGTGGGAGTCTCGGGCTGTAATTTCATGAACACTTTAATCTGGTCCAAATTATCACTGCTGCTGAAGGAAGCTCTCCTTCTGTCTCTGCCTGCTTGTTCCCATTCCCATGCTAAATTTTTTTTTTCGAGTACTGATATGAGTACAGCTGCTCACTAATCCAGACTGAAACTAACAAGGCAAAAAGGAAATGCCTAATTGTGAACATGGATGAATAACCTGTCCGGCTCAGCAGCTGGTCTAACCTGTGTGTGGGGTTGGGAGTTTAGCTCCTGGAGTTTAGTTCTGGCAATGCACTGCTTTTTTCTGTAAGCCAGTCGAACGCCTTAGGCAGTTTAAAAATCTTAATGCTAGCAGTGTTGTGATGGAGGGGAGAGGGAGGACAAACTCACACATTTTGTAGTTTCTTTCTCTTTTTTTTCTCACTAACCGCTATCCAGCTAATTTTCTCGCTAGCTGAATTGTGAAGCGAATCATTCTGAATCAGACTCAAAGTGCCTATGCATCTTCCATATGCAGTTGTAATATATGAAAAATACTTCTGTTGCTTAACTCTCATTACATCCTCAATACTGTAACATTTTTGCGTATTTACATACTTGCACCAACTATTTAGAGACAACTTCAACATTTCTGATATTAGGTCTGGCTTTGGCGAGTAAATAATGACAGTGGCATTGAAAAAGACACCAAGAATAAATAATACTTTCTTTTACTATATTGCAGGGGGTAGTATCAGTGTCCTGTCTGTCTTGCAAAGTTTTGTGGAAGAGTCAGCATCTAGCTGGTGTTTCTTTACATCAGGAGAAATTCTGTATGGTGTTCTGTTGCGTACGCCTCCAGCTACGTTTTCTACTGTCTACCAGTGGAAAGGAGTTTTTGTTCCTCTTGAGGTAAATGATCGCTTGCAAATACCAGGCATGCTACTTGATAAAGTATTTAAGTCTCAACTCTACTTTTTTATTCTTCTCTCAGAATTTCAGTATGTGGAATCCTAAGAGCTGTGTGTCTTTCCAAATCCATGCCTCTCCCTACCTCGTGGTTACCCATGGAGGAGCCAGGGAAGGAGCTTCCAACAACAGTGTGTATGCATTTACACCTGGACGCAGACTGTTGAAGGTAAGTATGTTTTACTTACAAAATCATAAAATTATGGGGTTGGAAAGGACCTTGGGAGGCCTTCCAGTCCAGCCACATTTTAGAAGAAATTACTCAATGCTCAGCTAGCTTGGGGCCCTGAAATTCTGCATGACTTCAGTGAGGTATATTTTTACAGGTTTTTGTCTACTGTGCTTTTATATTTATATTTGGGTGTGGGGGAAAATGACCTGGGAAGTGAGGAAATAAATTGTGGAGCAATCAAGTCATAGAACGTATTCTGAAAAATGTATTATAAGTTATATTAATGTTGTAAATTAACCCCACAAATATAGACATTTTTAAAATTATAAAATTACATACATTTTATATATAGTCTTATGTATAATTTTGCAAATTTTAGAAATATGTGTACATATGTATAAAATTGTCACTTGAGGTAACTTCCAAACACCATTTATGTCATATTTCCCTCACAGATACAGAGTCTCTCTATTCTGGATACCAGACATGTGAAACATTTTGCTGCGGATGAAGAAGACTATTTGATTTTTGTGAGTCATACAACCAGTTCCAGTTCCATCCAGGTTAGAATACACTTGTCTTCCCTGGCTTTGATGTGGGTAATTTGGTTAGTTTGAAGTATGAAGGGATAATAAAAACACTGTAAGTATATATTTCTGAAAAAGTTACTTAAGTTTGTATTATGGATTTATAAGACTTAAAATTCTAGAATTGTTTAAATGTAGCAATATTCTCTACAATAACATATAATTCACATTTGGTTTGATATTACTGCTAGTGTTATTTCTGTTTTGAAATCTAGCATGTTAAACACCTGTAAGAACAGAAATAGCTTCTGACCATAAAGGTATTGGTCTGAAGAACAGGCACAGCTGCTTGCAGTAAGGTAGTCACTTGCTGGTGTGCTTCTACCTTAATGTAGGGTCCACTTTTGAAATGAGGAATTCAGTTCAGTATAAGTCTTCCCATTTTTTCATCATGACACTTAATTTCTCTTCTCTTGATGCTAATTATGAATGTACAATGAAAAAAAAATTTCTTATTTCCACAGGTTTTCCAGTGGAAAAATGATAAATTTTTGCTGCATCATCAACTTCCACTTTACAGAGCTCTGAACATAGCCTTGTTTCCTAGAGGAGGCGTTATGTACCTATTAGTTTCTTTGTCAAATACCAGCCAGAACATGCTCTTGTACCAGTGGTTGAATAATGAGTTTAGGAATCTTCATCAATTACCAGCAAAAGAAGTAAAACATATGGAGGCATGGATTTCTGGATCTGATATATATTTAATTACTGCAAAAGGTATTTAGCAGATGGTGAACACTGAGTTTGCAAAGTATGCACTGGCCTGTTTGGTAGCAAAAGCATTTGGGGTAAAGAAGTTTAGATAGGGATTAAAGTATTACTGAGGAGTGACAATTCACTGATAAGCATTTTATCGAAGTAAGCTCTGTTTTGTCCCTCAGAAAATAAAAGCATTGTCTTTGTTCTCAAATACTTGTGAAGGTAATGGAATATTTTCCCAAGAACAATAGGAAATAACAGTTCTATTCATCTAGCTGCTGATTGCACCCTTTCTAAGCTTTTCTGAGCTTTATGATATGCAGAGGTCTTTGGTCAGCAAAGTACATGGGTTTTTTATTACAAGTGTGACATTTTAGTCATTGTTTTATGACTGCATCCCTGTGCCTGTTGAAGAGTTTACATTGCAGTCTATAGGTTTCTTTGCAGTTCGCTGCTGTCTGCTGGCAGTCTTAGTGTTCTTACATGTGAATGTGTGCAGAAAAGCCCTTAAATGACGTCAGTGGAATCACGCCGTGGAGATCAGTCATACTATGGAGTTACATACCAAGTAAAAAGGAAAATGCAATAACTGGTCTCACTTTGTTATTAAAGCTGCCAAACTCTGCCTTATGAATGGCCACCAGTGTGTGAATTAACTAGCAGGCATAAAAATGACGTCAGTTTTATTATTTTGCTCCTTTGTAGAATCTGGAAATTCTTCTGAAATTTTCATCTGGGAGACAGGGAAGTCTGCCTTTAGACACTTCCAGTCTCTTCCAGTCTGTGCCATAAGAAACATCCATGTTTTCATGCCTCCTTCAGGATTAGGTAAGACTTAAATGGCAATATTTGTTCAAATCCTAGTTTATAACACTGGAATTGCAGAAATATATGTGCTCATTTTTTCGTATGATTTATCGGACTTTAAAAGTTACTATCATCATCATTGTGCTACCAGGGGCATTTCTGGCATTACAAGAACTTCTAAATACGTCGTTGAGTATTTCTTTCTTCTCCTCCTTGGTCAATGTAGTTCACATCCTCCTATCCGGTGAGGACACAACGGCACTGTATTCTTGGAACTCGGAAGGGAACCAGTTCTCTCCAATGCTGGAAGCCCCATATGCGGATCATATCACTTCAGCTACTGCAAGGTCTCTGAACTCCAGCAAGAGCTTGATTGCTCTATCTGTAGGGTCCAGCGTGCAGGTTTATGAGCTGACCACTATCTCCAACCAATCAGATTTTATACCTAGGTGGGTTTTTCTGTTTTATATAACTTTCTCCCAGCTTTTGGATTTTTTTTTCTGTGATACTGTTTTTATTACAGTGGAGACTGTTATATTCTTCTGTGTGTGGTGTGCTTATTAATACTAAAGAGAATTTTTCACAGGTAAGTTTAAGATAACCTGAAGTCAAACAGCCTCAACTGGCTTTAAAACATGGCAAGAAAGGACTTACAGTTATGACTTGATTTTTTAAAAGCTTTTATTTAGGATAAATTAAATTGCTTTCGTAATTAATTACAGTTACTTCATGATCTATTGTAATTAAAAAAACCCAAACAAACGCATAACCTTTAAAGCTCAATTACTTCCTCAGGAATATAAACAATAATTCCAGCTCCAAAAATGCCTGTTAAATTTACAGGAGCGCTTTCAAGGTTCATTAATCAGCTATCCTCAGTTTATAATTATGTGATGTTTGTGTTTTTATGCTAGTTCAGGTGAATTGATATTTGAGCCTGGGGACATGGAAGCTGTGATAGCAGTCAATATCCTGGATGACATCATCCCAGAGGAGGAAGAACGCTTCAAAGTGTGGTTGAAAAACCCTAAGGGAGGTGCAGAGATTGGTGTACATGGTTTTGTTAACATAATTATTCCTTCCAATGACAATGCCTATGGAGTCATTACATTTGCTCAGGTAAAACTGCTAAGGTAAATCATTAAAATACATATATAATTTCTGAAAAATGGAACAGAAACTTACTAAACCTGTAAACTGGAGCATGTGACCGGATTATTTTCTAAAGTCTTGTAGCAACCTGAGGTTTATACAGTAGGTTCTTGACATCCATTTAGCATTGCTGTGTGATTATATAGAACACAAAGTGATAGAAAATCAGTTCCACAGTCTGTCCCTTTTGTGAGATTTTATAATCCCCTTACATTGAGATTAACACATTAGTTTACTAGCTTGGTTTTGCAATGACCTAAAAATTCAGTTTTCAGATGGTATATATGATACCATCATATATGGTTGGTTAATCAAGGGAATTAAGTAAACAAATATGAAGATCCTTTTCCCCTGAAAATCATACTGATTGGGTTATGTTCCAAGATGAGCCAGTCTTCCAGAACAAAATAATTTCTTTGGAAAAAATGTCAGAGTGAAGATATTATTTGGAGTGGTTAATTCTTAAATCATCAAACACTGTAGAAGTTATCTGGACAGGCATATAGTAAATGCATATTGAAGATGGAAAACACTATATGTGTTTTATGAAGATATAAAACACAAGAAACGAGACATTGCATCTGGACTTGTGTGAGGAGGGTAACAGTTAAAATACCATCAGTATAAATATGTCCCTCTTGAAGGTCCACTTGTTTGTTATCTGCTTCATACGATTTGGACATAAAATACTGTACTAAGAAAACCACAACAAAAAACTCAAAGAACATTGGGGGTTTTTGCCTTAGGATAAAGAAACCCAACTTTTAAAATTCTTATGCCCATGAAACCTGGGAGTATTAAGTACCTCTGAAAATTAGGACATATAAATTTCGTCAATGAACATGTATTTAGCTACTTAATAATAGATTAACTTATTGATGCACAATGTCACTGGCCTACGTTGAATACCCAGATCCCTAAAGAAACTTTTCTTTATAAGAAAATAATGTTGTGGTTCTGGTACTTTATGTTTTCCAGAGTTCTTTATTTAAGCAGGTTGAAGAAATGGAACAGGACAGCTTAATCACCTTGAATATTGAACGTTTAATAGGAACATATGGACGAATTACAGTAGAGTGGATTGCTAATGGGAGCATAAGTGATATATTTCCAGCTTCAGGAATGGTATGTAATAACATCACTGATACTAGGGAAGCACTTCTGGCAGGCCCATAATACCGCAGCATCACTCTCGCTCTTCTAGAACGAGTTGCTGCAATGCTGCCCAGGCATTCGAAATGTCTATCTGTAGTATCCTGTTCCATCTTCCTTTCTTCCTGCTGTGAGATCCAGCTACTGTGTCAAGTCATTTGCACAGGTGGGAATCTGGGAGGGTTTTTTCTTCATCCTGACCTTGTCAATACAACTGAGAGCTTCAGGGGCACAGGGGAGTATGACAAGTCGCAGTTTTTCTCTGTTTCTGAGACTGTTTAGATTTTCAGACGTGTTAAAATCCAGACTTTCCTGATAGCCAAAGCTCTTGGTATGCGTTAGGAGCACCAGGCGCCAGGTTCTTTAAGTCAAAAGCCTCCACCTGGTGGCCATCTGTAGAAGACACAAAGCCCTGTGGGCTTTGAGGCTGTAGAGCTATCATACAAGCCACAGCTGAGGGAAGAAAGGCCTGAAAGACTATAGGCATACACCTTACACCTGGAAAATACTGGGTCTGAAGTAAGACAAAAAATTTAGATTAAAACCAAGAGAGGTGAAATCAAGGATGCCAAAACCATCAGAGTGAAATTACTAAGGTACTCCTTGAGCATTCCAGATGGATGCTACATGATTTCCCTGCATACGTTTGCAGGTAGAAAGAGACAGAAAGGTAAAGGAAAGGTGTGATGTTCACTGGACACTTTTGTTTATCCGTCGTGTACGTGTAGCCTAAGTGTTTATAGACATGTCTTCCTTGTTGAGAGAGGCCTGATCAAGGAGGCAGCCTTTTGAATTTTAAAATAAGAATAATATAGATAAAGCATTTCTCAATCATTTTATCTGAAAAAAAATCAACAAAACTGTTGACTAGACATTTCTTCAATTAGCAATGACTTTGATACGTATTATATGTTCATCATTCTTTTGACATTATGTTGGAGGTGGTGGGTTGACCTTGGTGGGCTGCCAAACCCCCACACAGTTGCTGTCTTACTCCCCCTCCTCAGCAAGACAGGGGAGAAAATAAGATGTAAAAGCTCGAGTTAAGGGCAGTCTAATAAGAAAAGCAAAAGCCATGTGTGGAAGCAAAGCAAAAAGTGGAACTTAGTATTTCCCATCAGCAGACAAATGTCCAGCCAATTCCTGGGAAGTAGATCCTCAGTACATGCTTTGGAAGACAAATGCCATAACCACAAATGGTCGTTTATGTCTGTCCTTTCTTCCTCCTTACCCTTAGCTTTTGTGGTTGAGCATGATGTTATGTGGTATGGAATATCCCTTTAGTGAGTTTGGGTCAGCTATCCCCGCAGTGTTCCCTCCCAAACTTGCCTAACCCCAATGTATGACGTTGTGAGAGCACTGCTCAGCAATAGCCAAAATGTATCTGTGTTATCAACACCGTTTCAGCCACAAATGCAAAGCACAGCACTATAAGGGCTGCTGGGGGGAAAGTTAACTCCAGCCTGGACAGACCCAGTACATTGTGGAAGAAAGGATGCTGAGTTGCCGGCAGTTTACTCATCTTCCTATTTTTTAGATCTTTGAGAGGGTCTTAGACTTAAGTGTATTATGCAAGAAACAGTAAAGACAGGTAATTTTTAGTAATTTGAAAGGTATGTAATGAAAGACAATAAATTGAACATGAGCCAGCTATGTGCATACTGGTGTGAGGCAGAGCATTGCCAGCAGGTCGACAGGGGTGATCCTTCCCCTGTACTCAGCCCCGGTGAGAGACATCTGGAGTGCTGGGTCTAGTTCTGCGCTCCCCAGTACAAGAGACGTGGGCATAGTGGAGTG